CAATTGGTCCGCTATATGAAAATCTGTCGGCTACTTGAAAAAAAATTCGGTCGGCAAGTTGAAAATTTGTCGGCTACTTGAAAATTGCGCCGCTACATGAAAATCGCTCCGCTACTTGAAAAAAAATCGGTCGGCTACTTGAAAATTGCTCCGCTACTTGAAAATGCGCCGCTACATGAAAATTGCTCCGCTATTTGAAAATAAATCGTTCAGCTACTTGAAATTTGTCGTCTACTTGGAAATGTTTCCGCTACTTGAAAATAGTTTCGTTATTTGAAAAAAAAAATGGTCTGCTGTCTATAATCGGTTGGCTACTTCAAAATCGCCCCTCTATTTTCCAAAAACATTCGACCCGCACATGTATGACCCGGAAGTAAATCTTTTACGATTCCATGTCATTCCATGTGGGCAAGGTTTACAACGTATCACTGATATTGGTAAGTTTAAACAATTTCTATCGCTTTACTATGCCAAAAATACCGTATTATTGAGAGACTGTGATTGAGTGAAAATTCATGACACCGTCGGTGATCCAAATGTATGATCCTGGACCTTGTCGGGCGAAATGACCTCAGATAATTTTGGGCCAACTTACCACTGCCCCAATGCTGTTATGTATGAGCAGTTCAATCAAAATTAAAATTATCCCTTCCACCATAGTTATGATTTTAATGTGATTTTTTCACTTAGCAATAGTAGTTAGTGTATTGTACTGTACCGTACCGTACAAGTATATTGTGATTCTTTATGTGTTTGTAATATTATTTAGCTTTATTTAGCATTCTGTTTATTTTATTTTATTCTATTTTATTTTTTATACGACCATAGAACAACTCACTGTAGTTTGTTTGAATAAGTATTATTATTATTATATTAAGCGATGTAAAAAAATAATTTTCAGCATTTATCAAGTTTTCATACAATAGATTTTTTTTCTAGAAATATTCTACTTTTAGTTTAGATTTGGAGCTAACCTGCAGTAAGCATTATATTTCTATTTCATCAAATTTGGTTAAAACCAGGTGTATTGTACAGCTTGCATTTTTGTGGTTACCAATATAAATTGAAATTGAAATTAAATACATATTTAAAAAAAATATTTAAAATCTCGGTTTATTATCAGATGAATTGTAGGTACTTAATTATACACAATTACCATAACAATTTGACAATAATATTACTAGTGTTTCAATCTGAGTCCTTAATCTGAGACAAGATTATTAATCTAAAGCTGAATATAAGACATATAAGCTTTATGCTTGTCCACATAATACTAGTCAAATGCTCTTTCCAAATTCAGGCACTTTTTTCATACATCACTGTAATTGTCAGTCAAAAGGACTATTTCTGTTTCTATTGCACATAAAAAAATACAGAATATTTACACCAATAACTCGGGTGGAGCATTGACTTACAATAGGCCCAAATATTAAAAACTCACCATTTTAGGCAGTAAAAAAGTGTTTCTTCTAAAAATTAACGATCCCAAACTGTTGTTTTATCCCCAGAGTCCCCGGGCGATAAGTGGCGACTTTGAACATCGGGTTAATCTGTATTTTTCTGACATGATCTGAATACTATGAAGTCCATATACCTTGTCTATTTACAATAATACCCTTAGTTTTCACAAGTTTGAAAAAAAAAGAAAAATCAACCGACCGACCCAATTTTTCAATTTCCCGATTTGAGGGCAATATGAGGTTTTTTTTTGGGACTTAGTCCATCAAAAGTCAGGTGAAGTACACATGTTTCAATGAAGACTGGTGCATTAATTGTTATATCAACCTAATCTTTTTTGCAAATTAATTTATTTATAGAAATACTAATGGTATACCTATATAAGGCAGTTCATGCCTATAAGGCAACCGATGATGGAGAGTTGACCATTAAGGTCAACGATATAATTGAAGTTGAAGGATTGCCATGGCAGTTTCAAGGCAACCCAAAAGAGCCTCGTGGATGGATTTTAGGAAAATTTAATGATGTGGAGGGTAAATTCCCCTCTTTTGTGGATTTTTTTGGGCAGAGGTTATCACCACGACCCCCGACTCCACCATTATCTTCATTAGTTTCAAATAAATGCAATAGAAAAAAGAAACCTATACGTAAGTATCTTAAGAATTAACAATGATTAATTTTATTTATTTATTTATGTATGTATGTGCATGTCATGAAGGCATGAATATATAAATTTAAACTTTTATAAATGTATGGCAATCCTGGAAAGACGTGTGGCTAGTGAGCATTACCTAATGACTACTAAGCCAATAAAAGTGTTTACACTGAATTTGAATAGAATGTTAGGGTCTCCAAAGTATATGTTTTAAATATTTCGTAATTTCATGCGTTAACGACTAGAATTGCGTTATACAATGGACGAAATATGGCTTAATTTGTCAATTAACACCTCACCTACCAGGGCAGTACTGCTTAGTAGATACATTGAATTTACATCTTAATTAAAATTAATCTCAACATCATATTTAAAATAATGGATTATGATGTCCTTACAAACCTTTAATTTTCTACTTATGACACATAAAATGCTATAAACATGTTTCTGTTTGTTTTTAATAATTTCCAAGGACAGTTATTTATCTATTTTTAACATTTTGCAGCAGTAAATCTACATTTACAGGTACAATATGATATTCTGTGTTTATTTCTACTTTTGCAATATTTTACTCTGAAACTGTACCATACACATTTTATTTATTTAATTGGTTAAAGGGAATGGTGATAACTTCACTACTGTATGTTGTTCACGTCAGTTATTATTTGTAGACGGAATTGTGTAGCATGAATATTATCTTTGTATGCATCAAGTATTTTTATTACAATATGATAAAATAAAATTTAATAAAATAGTTATCATACAATATTGAAAAAATCCATGGTACTTAAAGAAATATTTTACCAGAAATGTTTTTTCACCCAAGCTTAAGAAGAATTAGTCTAATTTTATCTGCTACAGGCTCTTTCAAGGAGATGAAGATGAGAACGTCCTCTATGAGAGTAAGAGAAAAACAAATCAGGATGTAGGCAATTTAATTTCTTTATTCATTTGTTTCAATAATTGAGCTAAGCAACTGACATTTTTGGCGATAGCAGTATAGTTTACCTTACATAATTGAGTAAAATGTATTGTATTTAAATATACTATAATAATACATAAAAGTAATCAATGTTTTGTTCCGCCAAAATCGCAAAACAATTTTGTACTGGATGTCAATAAAATTGATTGATATACATGTACTTTGCAATTTAACAATTTATTTTGCAGTGATCTAATAATTGATCAAATTGAATGAAAATAGTTTTATTCTGTCTTTTATTTTTGTTATTACAGCTAAGATGGTCTGTAGCAAATTTGATGTTCAATGCTCATATCGTTATAGCACCCTCATACTGTCTGAATGAAAAAAAAATGTTGGTTTTTTTTTTGGGGGGGGGGGGGGGTTCTGTGTGTGCCCAGCTCAACTGGTTGATGGTGATGTACTGATGTGTGTATGTGTCACACATTGTCATTCCGGAACAGTATCTCAGTTGTGTGTGGACGATTTAAATTTGGTACATAGATTAAACATAATCAGGCATTTTTTGGATCAAGTTTAAAATGGCCAACTAGTGTCCGTTTTCTTTTAAAGAATGCAGCTCCACAAGCCTCATCTCATACATGCCTAGATGGACCAATCAAGCTTAAACTTTACACATACTCGTACATCTATAAGACAAACAGGGCCTATAACAGTGCAATTTACATCATGCAATTTATCATGTCATAAATATTATGTTTTTTAATTAGTATTCCATTTTGAATTTTCAGCAAGGAACTATGGGTAAAATTACATTTCATTACAATGACAAAATACTTTCTTTCATAACTTGAATATAATGCAAATTAGGTCAAATTTTCAGTGATCATATTAATATATATTGTTGTAACTTGTATAAGCTACTGTCATCAATAAATTATAAAATATACTAGTATACTAAGAATTAAGCAATTGGTAGAAAAATGTAAAAATTCAAAAATAAATATTTTCAGTTCTGTTGCCATGATGACCAATTAAATAATAATAATGAAATAATTTTCTTAATTGTTCACACCAGTGTCTAATGATGTTTTACTTTACCCACAATTCTATGCTGGAGAATCAAGATGGACACATCGATGAAAAGCTCATTATCTAAAGAATAAAATGTATAAAAACTGTTAATTGCATTCTGCTACATTTGTAGAGCTCTTTCATCTGGGAACATTATGTTTGGCTAGATTCACGTTTTAGTTCTCTAACAGTTTTCAGCATGTTTTGTTACAACAGATAAATACAAATACTTAGTAGTTGAAAATAAATTTTAAAAAGTTTGTTGAGCATTTTATGTACTTTTAATTATTTTTGTGTCATTAATTCATATTTGTTATATAAAATGAAATCTAGCACTTCACACAAAAAAACTTATGGCTTTAACTTTATTTTTTCCATCTGAAGGTGCAAGTGAGCATGTTATCACTCAATGGTAGAAATTTAGTTGTTTCAAGAAAAGTTGAAACAGGATTTTGTGTTGTTGTATCTGTGCTGATTACAGGTACTGAACTTTAAATAAATAAGTACATGTTTATTTATGTTCTTTGCAAATACATTTGGAGCTATAAGTCCTGGACCACTATTGTACTGGATTGATAACCATTCAATGGTTTTGTGCTATCAGCCTGTTCTGTTTAAGATCATACACATATCATACATGTTGGGATACGTATGCACATGGATTTATGCATTCAAAACTTCCAGAAAGGGAAGCCATTTTATTGCCAAAATTCTCCCAAGTCATGCATTTCTGTCAATTCAGAATCAAATCTCAGTTATGTTATGCATGTTACTTTGTTATGTAGATCAGATTCAAATATCAACATAAGTCTGACATACCATGCTTTGAGAAATACTTACAGATTGATTCACTACAGTATGAACTTAACTTGTTTTTAATGTGTTGCCTTTAATTAATTAATTTTCTCTTTGCAGCAACTGCAGATGAACTCTTAAAATTGGCTGTTGCTGAACAATTAGAACAAAATAGATTATTGTCAACAGAAGCCAAATATGTATTGCTATACAAGGATCGAAGTCTTGTAAAATATATTCCGGGGTCAACTGAAACATTCATGCTAAAAAAATACAAGATTAAAATGAAGCAACCGTATACCAAGTTGTGTTTTTATTTATGTCTCGAAACTGCATATGCAGGTAATTTTTTTAAGTGATATTTAACACTAAACGCCAAAACTGTGAACAATATGCACAATGTTCATGTTATACAGTGACTAATAACCCTCTTGCTACTTGAGGCCTTGTAAAGTAGCAATCACTGTGAATATGATATACAAATATAAAATATCAAAAGAAAATGCAACTGTATGTGATCATGTCTGTGTCTGAAATAATATTTGTGACTCCCGTGTGCTAAGCACACAATGGGAGTCCTCTGCAGTTAACCTGTCTGTGTTTATGTGTGTGTGTCTGTCCGTTCCGCTGATATCTCAAGAACCGTATGTTGGTTTCTAATGAAACTTGGTGTATAGATGCTCTGGGCTAATGCGCAGATTTGATATCTATGTTTTGGTTGAAACCCATGCATATTAATTACCTGATTTGCATGATAATTAGCTAATTGTTAGCTGTTCCTTGACTGTTCCGCTGATATCTAAAGAGCCATTCATTAAATTTTGATGAAACTTGGTACATAGATGATTAGTTTTGGGTAAAAAAATCCATGCATATAATTAACCTAATTTGCATAATGATTAATCAATTTTCGCTTTTCCACTGATATCTCAAGTACAAATCATCACATTTCAATGAAACTTACATAGATACATAGGAAGATGCACAGATACATATGCGAAATATTAATTACCCAATTTGCATAATTGATAAATTTCCAGCTTTTGATATTTCAAGTACTATTACTTTTCAATGAAACTTGGTACAAATTTGGTGATGTTCTAGGACAATGCACAGAGCGGATTAGTTTTGAGATAAAATCAGTGAATATTTAATCAACTAATTTTCAAAATTAGTTAATTTTTGGCTTTTACACTGATGTAATGGCAATTATTTCATTTCTGATGAAACTTGGTACATTGATGCTCCAGAACAATGCACAAACCTGCTCAGTTTTTAATTAAAATCAGATCATATTAATTACCAAATTAGCATTATAAATCATAATTTTTGGTTCTAATCACATTCCAATGAAACTTCGTACATAGATGGTCTGTGACAGTACTTATCTTAATTCAATGATTTTTGGTACATATATACTCTAACACAATGTGATGATAAAATTAATTTTAGGTTCATATACATGTATAATAATTACCCAATTTGCACAATAATTTACATTTCTGCTTTCCACTAATTTAGTTAGGATTAATCATCACATTATAATGAAACTTTGTACATGTGCACCCTGAGAAAATTTACAGACCTAAATCCATGTATAATAATTGCTTAATTTGTATAATAATTCATTTGGTTCACTGAGGTAAACCCTAAAAAATATAAAATAGTTTAAGTTCTACATTGTTGAATAAAAAAAATCAGATTTAAATTGAATTCGTCGCAGAGGTGCTTTCGAATAAATTATACTAAAAACCATGGATGAAAAATCAAATGTATTTTCTGCATGTATTAAATTTTGATGATGTAAATCACATTTTTTTCATGTTATGCATCTCAAATAGCAGACAAAAATTAGTTGCCAAGCTTCTCGTTTGAAAATCAAATCTTAAATTTTGAATTAATTCTAATGTGTCTCTAATACTCTCAGCACACAGGCGTTCTTTCTAAGCTTTTTTTGATTATTTAATATGTTCAGACTTGTCACATTCACAGTAAATTTGTTTCAATACTTGCAAAGTTTTTTGTTTTTTTAATACTGATACAATTTTATATTTGTCGTCCATCTCAAGAGTACAACCAAATGAGCACTGATAAAGATTATCACTATGTTGACACAGATGATAATAGTGATACTGTTGATGAACAAATGAACATTGAACAATGCCATCATGATATTAAAGGAGAAGAAATAGAAAATGTAAGTTTTACTACTACAGTTTTGGATTACTGGTATATAAGTATATAACACTTTGAGTGATGTCAATACCAAGTTTAAATGAGATAAATCTTGGCATACCTAAGTTGATATTCAAGTGTAGATTTTTGGAGGCATTAGCAAATGCTTCTCTAGGAAATGGTGATAGACTTGTAAACATGATTAAAATGGTTCTCCTTGCCTTGCTTGCAAGGTGGATGAAGGTATATGAGTGTGTTTGTCTTTAATAAATAATTATACCTACATGTATTATAGTGATGGGTACACAAAGAAGTGTATCAATTAAAACAACATGAGTGGCATTTTACCTTTCAAATTACTGAATTTGAATTTTTTTTTAAATTACAGGAACATGAGAATGAAATTGAAACCATAGAAGATGGTAACCCAGATATAGATACTGAAGTGGCTTTTGGAAACAATCCAAATATTGATTGTACTGGTTCACTCGATGATACTCTGCCTATTCTGTGAGTATACATGCAAGCATATTTCTGTATTAATACACATATCAATGGCAATACAATTTTGAATCTTGTACATACAAATTCAATCTGTCAAAAGTTCCTTGTAATTTTGTTTTCAACACTTTTGACAGTTTTTAAAACTACTTTATTTAAATCTGGTTTTTGAAATTGAATATCCAGTAAAATTTTTGTTACAAAATTGACCTTGCCCAAATCAAAGCTTTTTAGCTCATAACATATCCTCAGTAATAACAGGATTTTGTATAATATTATTGCATACAAAGTTATCACAAAGAATGTATAATAAGCATTATACCGGTAAATACATATTTATCATAAATTTTCATTTCAGAACCCCATATGGAAACTATTGCCAGGTGATGAATATTTCTGATGAAGATAATGAAGAATCTGATCAGAATATTATGGATCATGAACAAGTAATCATACCAACAATTCAGAGTCAAAGGTGATTGCTTAAATGCAAAAATCAATTTTATCTTGTTTTTTTTCATTTTCTGTCTTGTAAAGTACTTCAACTGACTGGTTAGCTGAAAGTTTTTATTAGTCCCCGTTCGGACGAAGTCGAGGACTTATAATTCAGTCTCCGTCCGTCCGTGTGTCCGTGCGTCTGTCCGGAGTCATATCTCAGAATCCCTTGTACCGATTCCGTTCATTCTTTGCATGTGCCTAGTACTTTATGTGGGACATATGCACATGCAGTGGTTTAGCGATTCGATTTAAAATGGCCGACTGGCAGCCATCTTGTTTTTTGAAAATGTTGTATTTTGGACATGCTTTGTCAATTTTCATTCAAACTTGGTACATAGATTATACATGTTGGGATACATGTCCATGATGATTTATTTAACAATTGGATCAAAGATGGCCGACTGGCAGCCATCTTGTTTTTTGAAAATGTCGTATTTTGGACATGCTTTGTCAGTTTTCATTCAAATTTTGTACATAGATCATACATGTTAGGATACATGTCCCCGACCGTCTTTGAGTTCCTGAGTCTGTCCGTCCGTGTGTCCGTCTGTACGTGCGTCAGTCTATCCAACGTCATATTTCAGAATCCTGTGGACCGATTCCGTTCATTCTTTGCATGTGCCTAGTACCTTATGTGGTATATATGCACATGCATTGCTTTAGCGATTCGATTCAAAATGGTCGACCGGCAGTCATCTTGTTTTTTGAAAATGTTGTATTTTGGACATGCTTTGTCAGTTGTCATTCAAACTTGGTACATAGATTATACATGTTAGGATACATGTCCATGACGATTTATTTCGCAATTGGATCAAAAATGGTCGACTGGCTGGCATCTTGTTTTTGTTTTTTTATGCGGTATCTTGGACGTGCTCTGTCATTTTTCATTCAAATGTGGCACATACATGTACTTTATACATGTTAGGATGCATGTCCATAACAATTTGTTTCAAAATCTGGTCAAGGATGGCCGATTGACAGCCATCTGACTTTTTGGCCTTACTACTATATTTCCACAATTTATGTACCATTTTCATTCGTATTTGCCACATACATCATACATATCAGTGTGTTGCATAATCAGATCAAAAATGGCTGAATAATGGCTGTTTTTATTTTGGCCATATTACTATGACACGAAACACGTGTTTTGATGTAAATAAACAATCTGTTGTATACGCCACTTGGAACTCAAGTTTCAAAGACACGCTCGCGACAACCCCTCCGCTTTAATATGACGAGCACAAAGAGAACTTAACAGGGACTGTGTCATTTTCAATGACTTGTTAAATAAGAATTTTCACTTGTACAAGAATACTGCATATGCTGTGGCAGTACTTTCATTAGCAAGAGTTTGAATTCTGTGTAAATATTGTATTGTAGGCGCGTACCAGCCTATGGGTCTTATATCAAACATGATAGATTTATTTGGTAATCAAAATATATTTTGAAAGATCATGTTATCGGTATATTTCATATAGACATTTTTCTATAATTTTTTTTTTGTATGTTTATGCATTAAAGAAGTTTACAAGAATTGTTGAGTGAGTTTATTCAGAGTGTTCAGGTTGATGATGTCAGCACTGTTATCATTCGAAGATCTAAAATCCTGAGAACTACTCTAAAAGCCATTAATAAGAATGGGTTTAATATAAGAGGAAAGCTTTTTGTGGAGTTCAGTGGGGAGGATGCTCATGATGACGGTGGACCACGGAGAGAATTTCTAAGGTATGAATACAAATCAAATTTGAAATCCCCAAAAAGGGAGTCGACTTAGACATATGCATGTTTGTTAATAGCTTACATGTATCACAGTTATTCAAAAACTATGTACCTTGAACATGATCATTGTTTTAATTACAAGCATTTTTATTCTCAGTTCAAAAATTTTGAAAACTTAAGTGACTTATAATCAGTTTCAATCTGTCTCGCTTTCCGTCTATCCATAGTTGTATTTCAAAAACCTCTGGAACAAATTTGTTTATTCTGTGCACGTCCTTAGTACTTTATTTGTGACATATGCACATGCAGTGGTTTAGCAATTCAATCAAAGATGGCCGACTGGCATTCATCTTGCCTTTTGGTCCCAAAACTATATCTCCAAGGCTTATGGACCATTTGCATTCATATTTGGCACATACATCATACATGTTGGAATACATGTCCATGTCAGTTTGTTTCATAATCATATAAAAGATGGTCTATTGCTGGTTATCTTCCTATCTGGTCATACAACTGTATTTGATATCCATAATACTGGAGGCATTTTACTTGAGTTTGGATGTAAAATTGCATAAATATGAGAAATAGCAAATAGTTTGTGTCCATAAATTACCAGTAGATTATAAATCATTTCATTTAATAAATATGATTTTTGTTGATACTAGATTAGTTTAGTTTTATTACAAAATGTACTCTCAAATACAGACCGTACACCAAAAATTCATTCAGAAACTATGTATTTGGTCACATGACCATCGATTTGCATATCCAATTTGATTGCATATATATTATGCATGTAGCAATACATGTTCTTGAAACATACATTTATGTGTTGAAAAGTTATTTATTATTGTTCTTTGAATTATTTGAGTAATTACAAAATGTCATCAACATCAACAATGTAGAACTTAAGCTGCATTAAAATATAAAATAGTTTAACAAATTTGTTCATGCTAACAGGTTGTTAATGCAGGAAGTTGGTGCTAGTATGGGGATTTTTGAAGGGGACCAGTTAACCAGAGTTTTCAGCCACAATGTACGCCTAATCAGTGATATGATGTATTTCAAGGCTGGACAACTTGTTGCCATGTCATTGCTAAATGGAGGTCCTGGTCTTCAGTGTATGGCTGATTCGGTTTACAACTACATGATTGGTATTGAACCGGGAAATCTCACAATTGACTTGATTCCAGATAGTGATATGAGAGTTAGGGTACAAGAGGTAAAACATCAATTGTATTGAAGATGACTAGTATAGTTTTATAGTCTTCAACCAGTTTCTACACAAAATCCGATCTTCAGAGCGATATCTATGAATATTATTTTCAGTGACCCTTTGTACAATACAGTCAAAGTATGCACATTCAGTTATTCTTATTATATATGTTATCTAAGGCTGTGTATTTCTTATTCAAAGATGAACATTGTGACATTCATGTCTTATTTAGATAAATGACATTATATAAATCATATTTTATAATAATAATACATTTTATTTAGCTATTTCCATAATAATGACTCAAAAAAAAATAGAATTAAAATGATACATTCTCAATTAACTACTTTTTTTCATGCAGCATATATCCAATGACCTGACTATATTATCATGAATTAGCCACAATTTCGTGGTAATTTTGTTTTGATATACCCACCCTCTTTTTTTCAAGCTTCAGAAATGTTCCACTTCAATTGAATTAAATAAGTTTATTGAGCAAAATGGTGACTGGATTGCGGATAATGGATATCCTGATATCTTCACCAGTGATATCAAAGATGTTGAAGAAATTTGCCATTTTCTTCTGTTACAACTATTTTGTTCAGTTTGTTGAATTACTGTTTCATGTACACATATGCAAGGTTATTAGCATGACCCTTTCCCACCTAAGTAGGGATATAGTCACTCTGCGGTTAGTTCTAGAATATATAATTATGAATATCTTTACTGTTTTCCCCACAGACCCTGATCAATCTACATTATGACTTCAGATACATTGTTGATATTTTTAGTGCACATCACTTTTTTTCCCCGAGATTCGGCCTGATTCAGTTCAAAGTTGAATAGGGCATTTTCAATCACACTTTGTATTATGACCTTACATATTAGGTTGGTGTGCAAGCCATATTTCTTTTTGAGATACTTGAACAAAAATACCCGACTAGCTGCATTTTTCTTTCATGCTATTTCCTCTGTAAGATATAGTCCAATTCAGTTCAAAGTTTTCACGTAGGTACTAGACTGACAGTAACACAATCTATAATCTGTGTTAGTGTTAAAAAAACATTGATCTTTCATTTCTACATGTCACATGTACTGAACATTTACATCGACTACAGCTAATACTTAACGGGGACTATGCATTATCAATGTTTGTTTTAATAAAATGTGCATATTTTTGTGTTGACATATTTTGTGTTGTAAAGATATTAAATGACCATTGTATCTCATATTTTACCGATATTTCATCTTGCACACTTACCACTGTTATTTCAGATCTAAAGCTGAAATGGATCAGTTTTTCTGTGGCCTGAATGATGTTGGAGGCCTGGGTCAGATTATAAAAGAAAACCCTGATCAGTTCAGGGACCTGTTCATTGATCGGGGAAAACGACTTTGCCGAAAGGACATAAAGTGCCTGTACCAAATTGACTTCAGTGAAAACGGCTGTAACAGACTCAATGAAGAGGAAGATACAATTTATAGTCTGGAGCTATATTTGCAAGCTGTTGAAAGTAAGACATTTTAAATTATTAATGGTATATACATCCTACTTAATATTTAAATGAAGTGATCAATCTCTAATTTGGGAATTATTTTTGGAAATTATTGCTTACTATCTTTTCTTACATTTTGTACTATTTCTAGATGGAGAGCATCCTGTGTCTCTTGAAGACATCCTAGTTTTTGCAACAGGGTCCAACAGAGTACCTCCACTTGAATTTGCAAAACCAATCACTATACAGTTCTCCTCAACATGTGAAAATGAAAAAAGATTCCCATCTTCATCCACATGTGATTTAAGACTTTGGCTTCCTCGTGGTGTTGACAGTTTTAGTTCATTAATGAATAGAGCCTTACTTGAATCACATGGTTTTGGAAAAATTTAATTTTCATCCTTCCATGAATAATTTACTGTGTACACTCCATGGATTGTAATGCATAATTGCACAAATTCCACCTCTGGATAATTTGAAATTTTACCTTACTAAAATCCTTACTTACCTTACTAAAATCCAATATTTATCTTTGGATAGACTAGTGGGCCAATTGTATTTGCACATGTTGGTGCTACTCAGTACATTTACAACTTCAGGCCTAACTCGCATAGTTAGCCCACTAGTTTATGCAATATTCTATACATTAGATTTTAGTAAGGTATGACTGAATGTATTACAAATTTAAAATAATCTGCAAACTATTCCAATATAGTAAGATAATAGTAAACATGTTTGTTGAACATGACACGTTTTTGTTGCCAATAACCTGCACTCTGGTATTCGTACATTAGAAACTCACATTTGTATATTAAATAATGTATTCCATTATCTGATAGTTAAAAATAGATATCAAGTGGCTAATGGCAGTCAAGGTTCTATTAAACAGGCCCATTATTTGTCAGGTATCGTACCTATACTTTGATAATGACGGAAATCAACGACTACTTTTGAAGCCAAGGTCTGGTAAAAGTCCAACCTGTCAAGCGTCTAAGACTTTCATCTGATGGCTTCAAAAATAGCTGTTAATTGCCATGTATGTGCAAGTAGAGGTACGATACGTTGTATCTCAAATTGATACTTCAAAGTTTTAGGCGGTGATTTTTTACTTTGACAGGGACAATTTGAACCTATGTACCTATTTAAGGGGTGACAAAGGATGCTGAACAAAACAACTTTTTGAACAATAGAGAAAAGTCAAATAGCAGTTATATATTAATCATTTCTCATTTTAATAAGTGTGGTAAAAATTGTACAATTTTAATCTCTGCATACACCACTACATGTACAATTTCGTTTGACATATTAGTCATGTTAGGTAGTAATATGAGGTTATTACAAGGATAGCTCAAAGTATGCATGCAGACAGCGGGAGTATCAACCGGTGCACAGCAAAGGTTGATGCGACAGCATACTGTATGAGTTCATACTTTGAGGTATCCTCGTAATAACCTTATTATTATACATCTTTTCCTTCCAAGGATACATCATGGGAATGCCGAATTCCAAAAAAGTTTAGAACAAAATCATCAAACCTTTTTGTGTGGAGTCGGTCAAACCCTGGTGGCAGCAATGTTTGTTTTTATTATTAGATTCCATATTTGGAAATCGCATTTCCTTATATGGTAGGATTAAAATACCCCGTAAAATACCGCAAAATTATGACACTCTGTAACTTAGTATGGTGTTACGGTGACAGATGTATAATAATATTATAATATGCAGCTTTCTAATCGGTGGTTTGGTTTCTGACCTACTTGATCTTTATGAGTTGGACTAGAAACTGAATTTTTAATGTTTGTTATAAACCACAAAACTGTTATGCAAGATATTTTTATTAGTTCGAAATAAAATTTATACAATCACTGTGAATCTGCTTCTACCATTGCCTTTAACTGGCAATATAAATGCTTTGCCTGTTCTGTTGTTTTTGGTGGTAAAAGTTTGTAGCGCTTCAGTGCATGGTCAATGTATTTATCAATCTGCTCATCCCCTACATAATTAGGTGTATGTGCATGATGGCGAACGTCCTCTGTGGTTACCGGTTGAATCATATCTCTCCAACCTATAAAAAATTAAATAAAATAAAGTTAAACTTGTCATGAGACACGTGGTTGATTGACAGTGATTGATAAGATTTCCATATTTGTAGATAAACATAAAAAAAAAATGTTTGAGTTATTGTAACCACACAACGAAGAAAAGTTTTACTGAAATTCAACAAATATCTTTAAAAACCTGCATCTATAATATGCAGACTAAATAAAAATCAAAGAATGTTCAGAAAGAACGTGTGTGTGTGTACTAAGGGTATTAGAAGCTTTAAGTACAAATAAGAAATACTGTATTTACTATATTAGAAGCACATTATGTTTATTGCATACAAAATCTTTGTGTCTTATTTTTTCCACTATTTTTTCCTCGTCGCAGATGCATGTGCATATTAATGAGGTAGACATGTGGTATGTTAGTCATATATCTGCATGTCATCTGCAGCAGTGCTTCATGCATTACACTTATTTACTACTATTTACAAATTTGGCAATCACTAAGCTATGTATCAAGTTTAATTAATATCTGCTAAGAGAAATTAGGTAATTAATATTCACAAATTAAGGTATCTGCATGTGTGTAAGTTAATACCAATGATTTTCAAAACTTTTCAAAATTTGCTATGCATTTTGAAAAGTATGGCCACTCTAAGTTAAACAATGCATGCAAATAAACAAGTGAAGGTTTAAGAACAACGTTTAGAATCCATAAAAAAATGAACTTAGGCTTTACCTGATAATTCAGGACAGTGATATAGTATATTAGGAATACCACATGGTACATGAAGCTCCTTCTGATGCCTGATAGGATGATTGTTCCACTGTTTTATCACTTGATCTAATTCTATTTGGACTATTTCTAAATAGCAATGGCGAATTAGACACCTAAAAACAAGACAAGACAATGCAATGCGAATTTCCCAGTTCGAAGTTAAACATCAATCTACACAATAGACTGCTAAAGAATCAGCCTCATGGATAGAAGACTTCTGATGTCCATCTTCCTAAAAAAATGACAATGTACTGTGTCATTAGCTAATTGTTTTGGATAATTTTGACACAATGTTCTTGACATATCACAAAAAGGTAGTGTATAAGGCCGTTGTCATAGCAATGAATATTGAGAACCATACAAAGTTTTAGAACAAGCCATACTTTGTGTTATTTACCCCATAATACAATATCATTTCTTTGACACATATTCAAACTGGGACACTTGTTTAACACAACTACAGGTTGAAAATTATGGTAATCAAACTATATTTACTTGTGTAAATGATTTCTAGAAGAAAACAACTTTTCTTCAACCATTGATGCAAAATATTGACGCCACCATTCAGTCCAAGAGCGCAAAAGGAATGACCAAAAACATTCTATTCTCTAAATGAATAAATGAAGATAAACTAATTAAATAAATCAGCAACAAATTGATTTAAAATCACAAATGTTGATTGAATGTATGGTGCAAATATATCAATAAATAATAATAGCCAATGACAACTATGTAGAGTCCTATTATTTTCTATGGTGATTATACCAACTTTAATTTAAAATTATTTATTACCTGATTCGCAAAAAAGGTCTGCTCTGCTCTGATTTGCAAAGGACATCCTGTTCACAAATGTCACAGTAATTACATAGTGGCAATAATCTGTTTCAAATGTAGTCTCTAACATTGATAAAGTGATATAGAATCAAATCTATAAAGTCAACACACAATACTGTAATGTATAGCGCATTAAAACACCATTTTATGGCGTCATTGCCTCGGACATGAGGGCGGGGGGTATTCACTTAAATATAGGCTTGAATAAATCTTGTAAATTTTTGAGGTTATCCCTCCTCCTTGCCCTATTTATTAAAACTATAACAATCTCTATCGAACCACAATTGATGAGAAGGGCAAGCCACGCTCATTAACCCTTATAAAATCAAAATTTACTCTTTGGGAGGTCATTATGTTCTTTGTTTAAATAAATTTACTTGTGAATACAGATTTACATTATCCTGTAATAATGGACAGCTACAACATCATAAAAACCTCAAATTCAAATAGTGGGGATTTAATAACATGCAATAATGAGCAGAATGTTGTCTTAATATAAAACATGTACCTTTCATTTCATCCACACAGTTGAGGTAGTAATAGGCAATAACGCTAGGGTCACTGTTTGTGCTGGCTGCCTTCACCCATAAAATTTTTCTTGAATATCTGAAATTGACAAGATATTTTATTTTACTCAAAATATGCAATACATTATAAAAAAGGCATGATACACACGATATGTGCACATATCTGTTTGAGAATTGTTA